CCATTAACCAGGCTAGGCTAAAGGCTAGCCATTATCCAGGCTAGGCTAATGGCTAACCATTAACCAGGCTAGGCTAATGGCTAACCATTAACTATTCTAGGCTAAAGACTAGCCATTAACCAGGCTAGGCTAATGGCTAACCATTAACCATTCTAGGCTAAAGGCCAGCCATTAACCAGGCTAGGCTAAAGGCTAGCCATTATCCAGGCTAGGCTAATGGCTAACCATTAACCAGGCTAGGCTAATGGCTAACCATTAACCATTCTAGGCTAAAGGCTAGCCATTAACCAGGCTAGGCTTATGGCTAACCATTAACCTTTCTAGGCTAAAGGCTAGCCATTAACCAGGCTAGGTTTATGGCTAATCATTAAACAGGCTAGGCTAAAGGCTAGCCATTAACCAGTCTAGGCTAAAGGCTAGCCATTAACCAGGCTCGGCTAGGCTAATAACTTGCTAAACGAGAGTCTCTTTTTTATTTTAATTAGTTTTCAGGCTTAAAGCTCTTATTTTTCAAAAATAACACACTGGTTGCTACACTGTTAGCTTATTTCAAATCTTTCCAGGTGGTCCCCTAAACAAAAACCACGGTTCAGATCTAAACCCAAAGTCTAGACCTGAACTGGTTACATTTCATTTTTTTTTATTTAGTAGAATTTAGCATTTAGTTGCCTTTTCACTGAATTTTTACCCTTTTAGACCTGAATTTCAACCTAAGCTTTAAAAAGGGGTTGCACTGTGATTGACAGCCTGTCTGCAAATCATGAGACTGTGGAGGCGGGACTAACCCTAACCACAAGTGCACAAACTACAAAATAAATAAATAAATTTCGGACACTTTGTTGTAACACGGATGTTGTGTTGAGAAAATAAAGACAAACTAAATGTTTAATATCAGCTAAATTAGCGTTTTCACAGCGGTGCGTMCTGATTTTTAGAAGAAACCTGCTCGTTTGGTTAGCCATTAGCCTAGCCTCCTAATCCTTCATGACTGATGAGATAGTAGCTACTGATAACTATTTGACAGAATGTTAAAAAAAATGACCAGAGTATCTTTTAAAAAATATAAAAACTGTGCCATGCAGTGTGATGTGTTGAGTTTTAGAGCTTCACGTCACTAGAGTCAGTTTGTACCTGGGAATGTGACACACGACACCTTTAAATCACCGCTACGTGTGGTTTGTGTTGGCTGAGCTCCAGTTGTGAATAGCACTACTAACCGAAGGCACTAAGTACAGTTAGTCTCTTAACCTTTGACCTTTGCTCGCTGTCTTACCTCAAGGCTAACCCACCAACATCACTGTTTCAGACATGCTTTTCTATGTTGCCTCGGTCACCTCGGTTAAATAATCTGTTTTGTAAATGTTATTTTTGTGATTTTGGTTCATGTTTTGTACTCTAAAAAATAAAAAATGAATATAAGGAAAGTCTCTCTTTGTTTTGAGTTATTGGAGGAAACGTAATGGACTGAGTATATTTTGTTTTAATGATGCTCACAAGCAAAAACGTGTTGTAAAATATCAATAAAGCACAATTTATTTTAGAAAGTCTGCAGTTCAAGATGGCCACCACAGCTAACCGACACTAGCTAACAGTCGCGTGTTTACTGAAAGTTTAGCTAATGTCTAGCTGCTATTAGCTAAAGTTGGTTTTTCTAAGCTAAATACACATTTTTTGTAGCTATTAAAACTTTTTCTTCAGCTAAGTTTAGCAAACTTGTGCTCCTTATGCTTCCTTATGTTAATAAAATTTCCAGCTACATTTTAGCTGTTTTACTGAACATTTCGGCTGTTTTAGCAGTTTTACAACAAATTATCT